AGCAGCCTCCAAGGCCCGACCGGATCAGCCCTCCACCACTCCTGCCTTCCACTGTTCCTTGACCAAACCAGCCCCAGGACTTCTGCACATGCTGTTTCCTCTGGGCTTTTGTTCAAATGTAACTATTATTTACACAACTTTACTGAGACAGGATTCACATACCACACAACCCACCCCCACGTGCAACCAACACCACACTCGATATTAGAGCATTTTCACCCCCTCGACAGGAAATCCCATACCCTTCTCTCGCTGTGGATTTGCCTGTTCTAGGTGTTTCATATGAAAGGAACCATACAATGTGAACTTCTATGACCGACTTATTTCATTGAGGTCATGTTTTTCAGGTTCGTTCATCCCCATTACAGCAGGCATCAGTACTTCACGCCTTTCCATAGCTGAGCAAGAACCCACTGTAGGGCCGGATGGCTGTCTGCGGGTGATCCAAGTGGTTACAGCACTTACAGCTTAGCACCCAGAGGGGCCTCCAAGAAAGGCCTGGTGATCTACTTCCCAAAAAACAGCCACTAAAAACCCTATGGAACTACTCAGAGGGGGATGGGTGCAGGAGATCCTGGACAGAGTGGGAAAACAATGTGGAACAAAACTCAAAATCATTAAAAAAAAAAAAAAAAAAAAGACCAGGTTTGCTGGTCTGATAGAGCCTGGTGGAACCCCTGAGACTATGGCCCCTAGCTGCCCTTCAGGTCTGGAATTGAACCCACTCCTGTGGCTTCCAGCCAAACGAAAGACAGGCATATGAGCTGAACATTTACATTAGGAAGACACGCTCCTTGGAGAGCTCAATCATGGGAAAATAGAAGGGCTATGTGTGCACAGGGAGACAGCTTGGGGGGCAGGAGTGCATGGAGGGAAGGACACAGGGAAGAGGTGACTATGGGGAGGAAGTGGGAGGGGAGCTGTTGCATTGTGGAAAATTGCAGTTAACGTCACAAGACAAAGTGTATGTGAGCTGGTGTATAGAAGATGAATTTGCTCTATAAACTTTCACTCAAATCACAACAAAAATTAAAAAAAAAAAAAAAAAAAAACCCTATGGAGCAGAATTCTATTCTGACACACATGGGGTCGTGATGAATCAGGGTCAACCTGATAGTGAGTTGTTTTTGTTTTTTTTTTTGAAGGAATGACCACATTTTCTTTGTCCATCCATCTGTTGACGGACACCAGCTACAACCATACTTGTGGTGTGTGGTGTGTCCCTCCACAAGGCAGGGATCATGGGAGTGTTCTTCCCACTGCTATATCCTCAGCTTCTAGAACAGGCCTGGCTCATAGCAACTAGCATTTGTCAGATGACTCTCAGACCCCTGACCAAAGAATCCACCTCGGCTCCTTCCTTCTCCCCCAACGTAACATCCGTCCGTAAGCCCTATAGGCAGCTCGGCCACTGAGGTAGCTCTAACACCTACCCCTTCTGGTCCCAGCACCGCCACCCACCACCATCACCTGTGGCTGGGCTGTGGGCCCAGCCTCTTCCTCCTCCTGGGGTTCCCTGCTTGCCCTCAATCCACCTTTGACCCACAGCTAAAGGGTCACTGTAGTGATACTGCCTTGGAAACCCAGGGAGGGGTCGCTATGAGTCAGTCCAACCAATGGCAAATAACAACAACAAAGGGTCACTTAATGATGCAAATCCAAGCTGAGTCTCCCCGCAGCGCTCCAGCCCCATGCTCTTGACCCAGCCTCACTCGGTTCTCCAAACTCCTCGCCCTGCCCTCCACCTAGGCTGCTCTTTCTGCTCAGACCCTTAGGATGTACACAGTCTGCTGAGGTTTCTCATGGCTCAGGGCTCAACTCCAAGGTCACCCCAACAGAGAACTCCCCCGACCCCCCCTACTTGCTATCACGTTGTCCAGTTTTTCTTTTACAACTCTCAATTGCACCTGAAGTTATCTTTTTATACTGGCAGGTCTGTTGGTAGCCTTCCCCACCAGACTGTAAGCTCCTTGAGGACAGGCCCTCAATAAAGAGACAAGGGAGAGGAGGCTGTCTGGGCAACATGTTCCCCTCTGCCGCTTCCCCGTCCCCTCCTTCAGCAAACACCCCTCAACCACTGCCCACAGCCACCTCCTCCCACAACCCAGACCTGAGGCGCTGACCCCTGGCTGATGGATGCTCCCCTCCCTGGCTCTCCCCAAGGGCTTTCTTTCCAGCTGCAAAAGACATCCAAGGCAGCAAGGAGTTAAACTGGTTAGCAGCTGGTTAATGCCAGGGAGGGTGCTGGGTGTATCTCTGGGGCCTGCCAGCCATGTGAGTCTGGCTCTTGACTGCCATTTCTGTGCTGTGTGACCTTGAGCCGGTTCCCTCAACCCCCAGGCCACAGTCCCTCAACTCTGGCAAGCCTGCAAGGTTCTGGGCAGGCGACGCAAGGCCCGGCAGAGGTGCTGTCCATGGCAAGGCTGACTATCTGTCTAAGGGGGGCTTCCCCTCCTGCTCCCAGGCAGAGTCCTCAGCCCTCTTCCCACCCACACTCCCCTCTCGGAGAGCCAGCCAGCCTCGTGGCTTTAGGCACCATCTACACAGATGACAGCCACCCTCACTCTCCAGCCCTTCCTCTCTCCTTGGCACCTTCAGCCAAACTGGAGCAAATACCCACATCTCAGCCAGCAGCCTCGCCATCCTCCCCAGTCCTTGACCAGAACCCCAGTGATCCAAATCCTTGACTCCACATCCCGGTCAGAGTAAGTCCTCAGGGGGCACCTCCAGGACACCCCAGCATCTATCCTCCTCAGCAGCTGCCCCCCAGTCCTAGCACTACCATCTCTGTTCCACAGCCCACGAGCCCCCCTCCAAGCCCCAGGGAGGCCAGGTCCCCAGTGTGCCACCTTGAGTGTGCCACCCACGCCTGTATGTGCTCTCCTCAGAGAAGCAGACTTGGGTCTCCACCCCTTTCACAGCAGCCTCAGCTCAGAGCCCTCCTGACTGGGTTAGGCCTTGTAACCACGTGTTCTTTTCCTTCTCACCAAAACAGGATACCACATTTTGTGTTACATGTATGAACCTATGTAAACGAGATAATTTACATAGGCGGTTTTGCACATAAGAATCCAAAAAAACTGCAAGAACCCACACACGTATAACAAAGGCAGAAAAGACTGGCACACAGCAAGTGTGAGCTGTCGCTGTCACCATCCTCACAGTCCCTAAGATGTCCCCACCATCTCCATCCTCACCCCCCCCACATATATCCCCATCGCGTCCCCACTATCACCACTCCCTTCCCCACTGTCCTACTCTATCTTCCTATCACACCATCCCTCTGTTCCCCGTCCCCACTGACACTCTGCGTACCTTCTCAGTGGCCTACTCCTTTAGTCTCTATCACCCCAGGAGGAGGTAAGCTCCTGAGCTTGGGTGTGGCTTCCCTGACCTTGGTCCCTGGCCCCTGGGCACACAGGACTAATTCCTGGGTGAGCACAGTGAACTTCCAAAGATGCCATGGGAGCAGCTGCCTGGCTAGGCTGGTCACCACTGCCTGCCACTCTCCAAACCCCTCTCTTGAGTGCCCCCCAAAGCCCCACACACCCTGGGGACCGCTTTGCTCAGGGCTGGAGGTGGGGCGGCTGGGCACTCCGGCTTCTGGCCCCCAGTCTGGGTCCGGCTATGTTCCACTCATCCAGGCAGGCTAGCCCGCATAC